AATGATAGCGAAGGCTATGGCGACGACAAATCTCTCCAATCGGTTTGGAGTACATACAATATTTTCGTGGTCCTAACACCGACCCTTGAGGAACCCCGAAATCTAGTACTTTGTCATGTGAGGTGGCAGATCCGATGGCAACACACTGTCGTCGTTCACTCAGGTATGACTGTATCCAGCATAGTGCGGTATCAGTCACTCCATAAGAGTTTTCCAGACGTTTATAAAGTATGCCATGGTCGATGACGTCAAATGCAGCTGACCAGTCCAGCATGACAAGCACTGCTCTGCACTTGTTATCCAGTGCAAAAGCTATATCACTATGTACACGTAGGAGGGCGGTCTCAGTAGAGTGTCCCATGCGATAGGCCGATTGCATGTTGTCATGGAGACTGTTTGCATGGAGATAAACCTCTAAACGCCGGGACACAACCTTCTCCAAGATCTTAGACAGAAAAGGCAGATTTGAAACTGGGCGGTAGTTCTTCAACTCCTCTTTGTCCATTCCAGGCTTTTTTAACAATGGTGTGACATGTGCTTTCTTGAAACATAATGGAACCTTTGACTCAACCGATGATTTATTCATGATTGCGGTAATCAAAGGAAGCAGTGCTTCAAGACATTGCTTTAATAGGTCTGTAGGCAGTGGATCAAGCTCACAGGACTTCGATTGCGAGGTCATGATAATGTTGCGCAACTCGTCCTGGGTTGTTGGTGAGAGCTTTGTCAATCGGGATTACTATTGGGATTATATGAACTGTTGTAATAGAAAACAGTGCTCACTTTTCAAATTTTCATGGAGTGTCCGGAAGAGACCGCTTTTGTGAAAAAATATTTGAAAATTGTACCGACTAACTTCCCAGACACACCAATGGAACATTTCCTGATGTAAAGAGATACTATTAAGAGTGTGGAAATAGGTGATTGTGGGTCATGTTGATGGACTGCGGGAGATTTGTATGATCCCTGTGGGTCATACAGTTGTGTGACCGCACAACGCACCAAAAATACTGTGTGCACACCATGCATACATCGTTCACACACCGTCCGCACATCGTCCACACATGGTGCGCACAACTGTGCGATTTAACAATCGTTCGCCCCACTGTGCAATTTGGTACAATTTGTTGATCAATATTACGGAATGAAAAACACACGGAAGGCAATTTGGCTATATTCTACAAATGACTTCTTCTGTAGAACTATGTCATGGATATCAACCATATTTAACTGGAAGCATCCCTAGGTGTCAGGGATTCAAAATTGTACAAATGATGGAGCTGCCCCCCCCCCCCAGGGGGCTGAGAGGGGGGGCAAAAAGGGGTCAATTTTGCAATATTGCTATAAGCGACTTCTTCTCTGGAACTAAGAGATGATTATCAACCATATTTGACTGGTGGTGGTGATTCAAAATTATACAAATGGTGGGGCTGAAGGCGGGGCCAAAAAGGTGGCAATTTGGCTATATTGCTATAAACGACTTCTACTGTAGAACTATGCCATGGATATTGATCATATTTGGTCGGAAGCATTCATGGGAGGCAGGGATTCAAAATTGTAGAAATGGTGGGGCTGACCCCCCGGGCTGAGGGATGGGGCCACATTTGCTTCCAGGATGTCCGTAGGGTGTGGCCCCACCCTTGGAGACATAGTCCCTGGGCCATAACTTTAAAACTGTTGAGATCCCCACCCCAAAACTATATATACAAATGCTGGGCATAAAAAGACGAATCGGTCATGATATCAGAATAGATCCTGCGGTCTGACCGAACCTCTAGGGACCTAGTTTGTTAGTCACAGCTTGGAAACAGTTGAGAGCCCCACCCTATAACGGTACATACAATTACTGAGTATAAAGAGATGATTGCACATATGCTTCCAGGATGGCCTTGGGGACTGCCCCGCCCTTGGAGACTTAACCCCTGGGCCATAACTTCGAAATGGTTTAGATTCCCACCCCAAAACTATATATAAAATTGTTGGGCATAAAAAGACGAATGCAGTCATGATATTAGTATTGACCCCAGGGTCTGCCCCACCTTTGCAGACTTAACCCCTGGGTCATAACTTTGAAATGGTTGAGATCCCCACCCCAAAACTATATACAAATGCTGGGCAAAAAGAGACAAATGCAGTCACGATATTAGAATTGATCCTGGGGTCTGGCCACAACCCGTAGGGACCTAGTTTCTGAGTCAAAGCTTGGAAACAGTTGAGATCCCCACCCCATAACCATACATAAAATTGCTGGGCATGAAGAATCTAATACAGATATGCTACAAGGATTGGCCTTGGGGTCTGGCATATTCCCTTGATATCATTCGGAGAATATTTTGCCATGATTGCTTTGGTATCCAGGTGAGCGATACAGGCCCTCTGGGCCTCTTGTTTGCATTTGTTTTGGTCTATAGCTTTGGATCCCCTTCACCTGGTTTTCACACCTTGGCGAGTTATGAAAGTGCTCCGGGCAAGGGAAAACTATGGTCCAGGTACAAATGTGCGCAAGCAATGATCGTCCAATTTTTTATCGTTCGCACTTCGTGCATACATGTTTACACACCGTGCACACATCGTGTAACGTTGTGCCATTCCACAACTGTAAGATAGTTGCAGGTGATAGGTTAATTTTGCAGGTTTAACTCTCAAGATGCGGGGCATTTAGCAGGCGTATAATAGACCTGTCTGTCTGGCCTGTTGTAAAGACTTATCTGTCTGACCTGTATTATAGACCTTCCTCTCTATCTGGTAGTATATCTGTCCTGTAGCTGATATCACAGACTTGCTGTCTTTAATGTTTTCATAGATTATCATAGATCTTTAAAAGAACTTTATGCACCTATCTTAAATATTTCAAAGAAACTCCTGCATGTTTCAGTCAGAATACCAGAGTTTAGTTTATATTAATATTTTGTTGTTTATTATTTCTATTAATCTGTTTACAGTAAATGGAGGGCAGACAAAGGCAGCCTACATTCTGTGTGTGTTTGTTCACCTCATCACCTCTTATCAGCAGGCAGAACCATAAAACTATGGAACACAGAAACTCATGAAATGTTAAAAGTAAGTGAATGTTTGACTCAAAAAAGTATTATATTGGAACTTTTCTCACTACTCTCATATAACTTTACATTGTCAACCTCAACCTTTTAAAAATCTTCTTTAATATTTCATCTGAAGTAACCAGATTTGGTTTGGAAGTACATCTTGTGATGGCGGCGTGTCATAAACAAAAAGTACAGTCAAACTTCCATAAATCGAACTTCAAAATTCAAATATCTTGATGTGTCGAACTTACAGCAAATCCAGTTTTCCCCCCATAAATTTCACTATTAATATTCTATTCATGAATCAAACGTTTTTGAGTCAAATTTCTCGCTGGTTTGAAGTATAAGTCGTGTACGACCAGAGGGATTACTTCAAGGAAAATTGTCAGAAAGCAGGACACTTGTCTACATGTACAGCAACTATTAAAACCAAAGAAAAGGAATGAAAATAAAATCCAAACGAATAAAATAAAAATAAAAATATAAAGAACATTGTGACTTTAGTGTAAACACTTGCACCGTGGGAGAGTAGTCACATGCAAGCATATTTCAATGGGCCCAGCCTTTTTTTCTAAGTTCAGCATGCATTTCTTTTGTATGTTTTAGCTCACCTGGCCTGACGGGCCAAATGAGCTTATGCCGTGGCATGGCGTCCGTCTTACAGTGCAAGATTTTACTTTAAACAACATCTTAATAACCAAAAGGCCTAGGGTGATGATATTTGGTCAGAAGTAAACTGGGATAAAGGGCTACCACGTTTGTTAAAATAAATGACTTTCACCCACATTCAAGGTCACAATGGTCAAATATGTTCAAAACTTTGAACAACTTCTTCAGAATAACCAAAATGGCCAGGGTGATGATATTTGGCAAGTAGCATGCTGGGATGAACGGCTACCAAGTTTGTTCAAATGAATGACCTTCACTCATATTATCGGGGATGATTCAAGGTCACAGGGGGTCAAATGTCTTAAAAAAAATTAAAAAAAAATCTTCTGAATAACCAAAAGGACCAGGATGGTGAAATTTGGCCAGAAACATGCTTGCTTAAAGGGGTATCAACTTTGTTCAATTTGATGACCTAGACCTATATTCAAGGTCACAGGGGTCAAATATGTTTAAAATCTTTAAATATCTTCTCTTCTGAATAATACCCATGAGGCCAAGAATGTTAATATCTGACCAGTAGCATGGTTGGATGAAGGGCTACTAAGTTTGTTTAAAATAATGACCTTGAATTATATTCAAGGTCAGAGGGGTCAAACATGTTTAAAATCTTGAAACAACTTCTACTGAATAATCATAAGGCACTGAATGTTGATATCTGGCCAGAAGCATACTACCACAGGGGTCAAATATGTTTTAAATCTTGAAACAACTTCTTCTGAAATAACAGGATGATGATATTTGGCCAGTAACATGCTGGGATGAAGTGCTACTAACTTTGTTCAGATGAATGACTTTGACCTTTATTCAAGGTCACAGGGATCAAATATGTTTAAAATCTTTAAATGACTTCTTCTGAATAACCATCAGGCCCAGAATGTTGATATATTGCCATTAGCATGCTAGGATGAAGGGCTACCATTTTTTTTCAAATGAATGACCTTCATCCATATTCAACGTGGTGACATGGGTCAAATATGCTTAAACGACTTCTTCTGAATAACCATGAGGCCCAGAATGCCGATATTTGGCCAGTAACATGCTTGGATGACTGGCTATCAAGCTTTTGAATTTTGAAATACTTTTACCCATTTTCAAGGTCACATTTGATCAAATATGTATAAACATTTAAATGACCTTATCTCAATTAACAAAAGGTCTCGGGTGGTGATATTTAGCAAGTTGCATGCTGAGATGAAGGGCTAAAAGTTTGTTAAACGTAATTCCATTGTTTCGTTTTTCAATGTTTTAAAATCTTTTAACAGGTTCTTTTGAATGACTTATAGTCATAAATACTGATATTTTGCATGTAGCTTTATTTTAGATCACTTTTAAGGTTACAAGTGTGAGATTAATACTAGGTGGGATGCAGGCATATTGGGCCTTTTGTACAAAAATCTAAAGACGATTCCTTCTGATTACTTCAAAAGAAAAAGAGATATGAGTCAAGGGGGGTATTCATGTTTTGTTTTGATAATAGTTAAGTGTTTTAAATCGGTTTAGTTTTAGCTATGAGTTGTAGGAAATCAGTGGAATAAAATAATTGGTTACCTCGGCGTCTGCCTTCAAATTTGGCCTGGAGCATTCTTAAGCAAATTTTATATTAACAGAGGGCAGGCCCAATAACAGATTTTGAGGTATATTTAACCTTTAAAATCCTTCTCCTTCTGTACTATTGGAAGGGTTTTATCTTAATTTGGCCTGGAGCATCCCTGGGCAAAGGGACTCAGTTTTGGATAAACAGAGGGTGTGGTCCCTCTGGATGCAGATTGAGGGACGTTCCCAATAGGGGAATTTGAGCTATAGGAGGAATTTTATCCGAATTTGTCCAGATCATCCTTTGGCAATGGAAAGTCAATTTTGGATAAACAGAGGTTGTGACTAGGGGGTGGGGCCCAATAGGGTAAATTGAGGTTAATCTCTATAATCTTTCTCCTTCAGTATGATTGCAGGTATTTGAACCAAATTTGGTACAGAGCATCATTTTGCAAGGGAGACTCCATTTGTTTTAACAGTGAGTGTGGTACCAATGAGAGCAAAGGGAAGGTTCCAGTAGGGGGGGGGGGGGGGGGGGGACATAGTAAAATACTTCTCCTCCAGTTTATTTGGAGGGAGGTTAATGTTTAAAATCCACCCCAATTCATGAGGGCAGAAAGAAGGTAACTAATGAGGGACGGGTGTTGCTGAGAGACAGAGACAAAATTTAGAAATAGTTGCAGTATTATACGTAATATGAATGATTTTCCATGGTTGCTTTATTATCCAGGTGAGCAATACAGGCCCTCTGGACCTATTGTTTTTAGTTCACCTGGTCCAAAAGATGATGGTAAGCTTATGCCATACTGCAGCGTTTGTCCGTCTGTCAACTTTTCCTTTAAAACGTGACTAGTCCTGAACAGTCCAGTATATTTTAACTAAATTTGGTCTGGAGCATCTTTAGGCCAAAGGGACTCAATTTGGTATATACAGTGGGTGTGGCCATCCTGGGGGCGGGGCCTAATAGAGGAAATATAAATAAAAACTTTTAAATCCTTCTTCTACCGTAGGGATTAAAGGATTTTATCCTAAATTAGTCAGGAGCATACTTGGCCCAAAGGGACTCAATTTTGTATAAACAGTGGGTGTGCAGAGAGGCAGGGCCAAATAAGGATATAGAGGAATAGCTTTAACAGCCCTTTTCTTCCATCGTGATGAAGGTATTTTGACCAAATTTGAACAGTAGCAATTTATAGGGAAGGGAAATCAGAATCAGAAATCAATTCTTTAAAACTCTTCTGTAGGAATGATGGTCGGACACACACACACTCACACACTCTCACACACACACACACACACACCCTGCGAGCAGAGGGATGGGGCCCAATAGGGGAAATATAGCAACTTCTTCAAAATCCTTCTTCTTTTGTAGGAATGACAGGATTTTGTCCAAATTTGGTATGAAGCACCCTTGGGTGAAGGGGAACCAGTTTTATATAATAACTGGGTCTGATGACCCCCCTTGGGATAGAGAGGCAGGGCCCAATAAGGGATATAGAGGAATAACTTTAATGTCCTTTTTCTGTTGGGATGAAGGTATTTTGACCATCCTATGCAGAAGGGAAATAAATTTTGTATGAATGGTGGGTCTGAACCGTCTTGGGACAAAATATGGAAAATAGAAAAATAGCTTTAAAATCCTTCTTCTGTAGGAATGACAGATTTTGTCCATATTTTGTCTAAAGCATCCTTGGGTAAAGGGGACTTAAGTCCCACCGGCGGCAGAGGGGCGGGGACCAATAGCGGAAAAATAGCAAATTATTTAAAACCCTCCTTTTCCTGAAGGAATGACAGGATTTTGTTCAATTGCATATAAATATAACCAACCATGTAATACATGTACACTACCAGCAACATCTGGCTATTTCAACTTCAATTTTGCTAACATATCAGGTGAGCGATATAGGCCCTCTGGACCTCGTGTATGTTATTTGAAGTGTTTTGTTCACATTTTCAGAGATTTACCGGCCATGCAACAGAAGTGTTTCGGTTAATACCTGTGCCATTTACTTTGATTTCAAATGGAGATTCAGTTGACAGTTTGTATTTTCTGTCTGGTGCTGTAAATGACAGAATAGTAAATGCTTGGTAAGTTGTGTTATACAGTTGAACCTTGTTATCTTTAAGTCAACGGGATCTTGGATAGCTTTGAGTCATGCCAGTATTTGAGTTAAGCGAGTTTCCATGTTTGGTATTAACTTTGTTATAATGCTTGGTCAAACATGAGAATATCTGACTTGTTGATTTTTCTGGCAATCAATGTCTAAAAATAGTCGATTAAAGATAAAAATATGTAAACTCTTGTATGAATTATTGCATGTTCAATTCAGTTTTAAGTGGACCGGTAAGTTCCTGTCAGTGATTAGTAATTTCTTGAAGAGGCAATTGTAACGTGTCTGAAAATCTTATATTTGTGATCAATTAATTGATGTGTTGATCCAGTAAATGCGAAATGGCTTGATAAAATGTATACTCGATCACTTCCAGGCATGTCGACACCAAGTCCTCAGATAAGACAGCTGTAGCCTCGTTCTCCCTGCCGGATGAACCAGTGATGTTTGACATCTCCAGAAAAGCACGCCCTGATCAGGTAAATACAGTGGAACCCACTTATTATGATATCGGTTATTATGATATTTTCCCCATGTACCGTTTTTTCCCTCTTTAACTAAGCAAAAAAATATCGTTTATTATGATATGGTCAAAGGTAGGACCCCGCTTATTATGATATTTTTTTCTGCCGTGAATGGATTTTATAAGGTAAAAACGCAGGTAAGTTGTCCGTGTGAAACACCTGGACAATTACGCAATAGGTACGACTAACTGTACATCGCAACTGTACATCGCCCGAGGTAATCATCTGGCCACTTGAGGTAAATTTTTCACACCTCGCTTCACCCCAGTAGGTGGAAAACAATAGATCGACCATCGCTTCCTGGTCATACATTTTAGTCTTAACAAAACATTTGGTGGAGTTAATTGCTGTAGGACTATAATAAATTAAAATAATTAGGCCTACCGAATACAAATTCCGATAGAAAACGAGCATGCCTTTCACAAATATTCACGGTAACCTTGACACGTCACGTGAGAAAATCATGCTGATTTTAATGAAAATATTACTTCAGAAGGAAGACCTGTGTTTTTAATCATTTAAGCAATAGTTTCTTCTTTGCATTAGAAGTTGATTTCCCCATGTTTCCGTTGAAAAAGTGTCAAATTTGAGACATACCGCCCCGACAGCATGGTGCCGGAAATTGATCAAAAATTTATGTGATTGTCGTTATACGACGGCTGCTTTATTTACAATTTACACCATTTTCTTTAAATGCAATTTTTGATTATTGTTAAAAAGGGAATAATTTGTGTTTTTAATTGTTATTGTTTCTTTGCAAGTTGATTTCACCGCACGACTTGCGAGGCATGTGATTGTCTCGTGATCGTAATTGACATAGCGCTGCAAAATATGTTTATGCTTACGGGACAAAATGTTACACAAATTCTCGTTGCAAAATAGGCAAATCATGACTATTTATATCACTTCTTTCATCCTATTGACTGTAACATTAAGTTATAGTTAGCTACATGTGTAGGATGTAGTATAAAGATAGTTCTTAGGAATATGCTCAGTTCTTAGGAATATGCTCAAAGTTATTTGAAAAGTGAAAGTAGAATTTACAAACTGATCATTACGACGGCAAAACGAAAACTTCTTGAATTTTCCCAACACGCTGATGTAAAAAACAATAAACAAATTATTTCAATTATTAATTTATCTTTTTGTATTTATCTTTTTGTATTTATATTTTTTCATGTTTCCACATCAATCTATGTCTGATTGAGATAGGGCATCTCACTGCCGGTTCAGACAACATAAAAATGATCGAAAACAGCTTGATCAGTTATTATATTTTTCTCTGGCAAATAGGATATCATAATAAGTAGGTTCCACTGTACAACAAGATTAGTTGAATTACTAGAGAACAAGGTTTGGCATATATACTGCAAAGATAAATGTTTTAACTCCTGTTGGTCAGCTTGACAGGATACATCAGCAGGCTTGCATACCCTTAAGATTTTATCGTAATCCTTATGGATTTGGTCCCATGATTATGACTGTACAATCAAGAATGTTTTCCGTACAATTTGTTTTAAAATCTGGATTTTTTTGTGTGAAGTAGGCCGAATTTTGCTTCTGTGTTTTAGTGCATCCTATGCGCAAGATGCTTATGTTACTCTCCAATGTATGTAAGCACGTAATTGATCTCAAATGCAAACACTCTATGGAAATTTATTTAAACGTATGTTTCCTGACTACAAAGTGAATATGAAAGTACAGTGACTTTGGAAACTATTCAGAACCAGTTTCCAGCCTATCAGATTGACACTCTCCCATCTGCATCTGCAGTGCTTGAAGAGGGAAGTGTTGATAGGCAGTGGTATGAACTGTCTTGGCTAAAAGACAAAGGAGGTAGTCTTAAAGACAACTATCTTGCAAGGATCATGTAAGCTTTCTTGTTATTCCACACAGCAACACAGACTTTGAAAGAGTGCTTGCACTTGTAAAAAAACAAGAACTGAATACAGGACAAACATGACTAATGCCAGTCTTCAGTCTGTTGTAATAAAAAAAAGTGAAAACACTAGCTGTGGGTCAGCAGATTGAAAACAAATTCACTGATGTCTTTCTCCAGAAGGCAAAAAAAAGCAACTTATGTTGCAAATCAGATGTTGACAAAGGAGTCAACAAAGACATTCTACCAGTGTGCATTTTTTTTTTTAAGGTTTGTAGAAATGAACAGTTACAATTCTACATTGCTGATAATACAGAATTTAATCTCTAAACTCACACATTTTCTTGACATTTCAATTCTGATTTATCATCCAATATTTATAGCTATTGACTGTTGATAATTAAGAGATAGAAGTTGTGATTTTTTTTCAAGAATTCATTTATATACTTCCTGAAATATATCGGTACAAGCGACAATGTCACTAAATTGATATTGTATGAAAAAATGTTGTTAAAAAGGATAAATTAAAAAAAAACATTCTGAGTTAATTGCATCATTTAGATATCTCCTATGCGTTTCCGTGCACTGGAGCAGAATAGCAGAATTTGGTCTGGAGCATCCTTAGGCCAATGGGACTCAATTTTGTATATAGGTTGGGTGTGGCACCCTTGGGGAAGCAGCGCCCAATACTGAATAGGGGAAAGAGAAGTAAAAATCTTTGAAATCCTTCTTCTTCAATAGGGTTAAAGGGATTTCATCCCAATTTTGTCTGGAGCATCTGGATCAAATTTTGTCTGGATCAAATATGTTTAAAAACCTTTGAACAACTTCTCCTGAATAACCTAGAGGCCTAAGGGTGTTGATATTTGTCCAGTAACATACCTAGTTTGTTCAAATAAATGACCTTGACTTATATCCAAGGTCACAGGGGTCAAAACGTTTAAACGACTTCTGAATAACAAAGAGACATAGGGTGATGATATTTGGCCAGTAACATGCTGCAATGAAGGGCTACCAAGTTTGTTCAAATGAATGATCTTCATCAATTTTCAAGGTCACAGGGATCAAATATGTGTAAAACCTTTTAACAACTTTTTAATAACCAAGAGGCCTAGGGTGTTGATATTTCACCAGTAACTTGCTGGAATAAAGGGCTACCAAGTTTGTTCAAATGAATGACCTTGACTTATATTTAAGGTCACTGGGATCAAATATGTTAAAAACCTTTTAACAACTTCTCCTGAATAACCCAGATGCCTAGGATGATATTTGGCCAGTAACATACCTAGTGTGTTCAAATAAATTACCTGGACTTATATTCAAGGTCACAGGGGTCAAAACGTTTAAACAAGTTCTTCTGAATAACAAAGAGGCATAGGATAGGGTGATGATATTTTGGCCAGTAACATGCTGCAATGAAGGGCTACCAAGTTTGTTCAAATGAATGATCTTCATCAATTTTCAAGGTCAAAGGGATCAAATATGTGTAAAACCTTTTGACAACTTCTTCTTAATAACCAAGAGGCCTAGGGTGTTGATATTTGACCATTAACATGCTGGGATGAATGGCAACAAAGTTTGTTAAAATGAATGACCTTTGAATTATATTTAATTATACCAAACAACTTCTGAATAATCTAAAGGTCCAGGGTAATGAATGATATTTGGCCAGAAGCATGCTGGCATGAAAGGCTATAAAGTCTGTTCAACTTAATGTACATGTCCTTGTTTGACTTTCAAGGTCACATGTGTCACATGTTTTAATCTGTTAATAGATTCTTCTGGTATTTTACATGTAGCTCTATTTTAGTCTAAGATTACAATTTGTACAGGATTTCTTTTTGTTTTTGGATCTTATTCAAATATGATCTGTTTTATCTCTTTGAAATATACTTAAAACAGTGACAGTGTGAAATTTCACAAGTTTATTCAAAATAAGTGGCAAAATCGAAAAAAACAGAGGTACCCTCATTTGAACCAATACTGAATTTTGCCTCGTATGTGCAGTACTATTGCTGTTTTATATGTGTCACTAGTTTCTCACTAATTCAGAGAAAAAATCTCACTATTGTTTTGGATCAAATATTAAGAAAATAAAATCATTGATCTCCCTATTTTACACTATATGACATATGGCATATATGAAGTACAGTATGTTTTTCCCTTTCACCAAATCCTAGAAATAATTCAACTTCAGCGAGTTATATGGTACAAATGTGGTTTCTTCTTGTTACATTTCAATGCTCTCTTACATTGTAATTCAAGAATGCATTCGAAGATTTCAAGTACCCTATTAATTAGTTCAGAACGGACAAATATTGTTCCGCCTCTGCTTTGCTGTTGTATTTGCTAAACTCTACAGTCATGTTGCTTGTAGCACTTAACATATATAGCATTCCCAATCAAAATTCTTTACATAGATGCATGCAATATGAATATTTGAATATTTCTAATGTTTATCAAGATGCTACACAAGACTGCAGGAGGGGCATGGCACAGATCCCCAAACCCCACCTAACTGTATATATGTGTATTATGTTTCTATACACATAGATATATACCATGGAGTTTGGGGATCAGTGCTACACCCCTGTGTACAAAACTGCTGTACCATGTTCCCTTTCAAAATCTATGTACCCTTTGTTCTGAGGTAAGTAATAAACCTACAGAAAACAAGCATGGAACTATATACCCTATAACTAATTGATGTAATATACATAAACTTCAGATTGTAATCACCATCTTTCAAATTACAGAGTTTGTTGTTGACGGTTGTCACAAAGGCTGGACAGGTTCTTATATTTGAGCATAAACTAAATGGGTGAGTACCAAGTAGATGACTATATATCGCTGCTATTTGAAACTAACATTTGTTAACTTCTTTTGGCCAATTACAGTATGACACAGCTGTGTGTGTAACAAGTCTTAATTGTTTTCTCCAAATCGGATAACAATATAAGCTATCTGTAACATTTTTTAGGTTGATTAAGGTCATAGGAGTGTATTGCTAAGCGGAAATAGGAAGTAAATCCCTAAAACCCAATGTAGGGAGACAGTATCACAATTTCCGCATTTTCTAATGTTTAATATTAAACTGATGAATATTGTATGTTTATTGACAGAACAGTGTGTTCTTTCAATATTAAGGTATTTCAAAGCAATCCAGGCATTAATTCAGTTGTTTTTTAATCAATGAGTCACATGTGTCCATTTTTCTGTACTTCAGGAAACCGGCTACCTATTTCACTACTGTGAAGTTTTTCAAGAACGATAACTATTACATGTAATTACTATGTATAAATGGTTTTATTAGAAAATGTCAATTTTTAATCGTTTATAGATAATTAATTTTACACAATTTCAGCATTTATGAAATTGATATACATTAATGCGATACTAATCTATGTCACTATCATTTTTATTGACATTATTTGCAAAAAATGTGTGTTTCATTTTTTTTCCAATATTCACTCTCTTTTACATAAATTTCCATTTAAAATCCATAAAATTCTGACAAACTATATTTTTTTTGTGGCAGAAAATTTTCTTTACTTCAAAGCAATATCACTACAAAATTTGAAGAAATTCAACTGAGAAATAGCGACACAATCCTATTACCTTAAGGGAGACCTTATGCTTTTTATCTGTTACTAGGCTTTGTTATCTCTCATTATTAAATGACAATGTAGCAAAATTTTCTGTAACCCCCTTTTGTAAACTTTTCTTGATAAATTACAATGTAGCACAGCTGTGTCTGCATGTAGCCTTTGTTAATCTCTTCTTGCTAGAAAACATTTTTAGGTTGCTGTACCTAGGAATATATTTCTGATATAGTTGAGTATCCAAGACCTTGTGCTATTTGGATCAAGGCCACAGGAGTCAAATATGTCAAAAACTGCAAACAACTTCTCCTGAAATCATGATATTTTGCTGGTAGCTTCCCAGGTTGGGGCCTTGCCACGTTTGCGAACAAAATGACCTTGACCAAATTTCAAAGTTGTAGGTCAAATTTGTCAAAAACTTATTTCTTCTAAAGAAAAGCAGAAAGATCTAAAATGAGGATATTTAGAAGGTAGCTTCATTTGATAGGGTTTTATAAAGTTTTTGGCCAAAAAACACACATTTACATACAAGGTCATGGAGGTCAAATATGTCAAAATCTTAAAACTATTTAATTTGAAGAACTGAAAGACAGAATCAAGATATCTGGCTGGCCAAGGTAAAAAAAAAAAAGCACATAATATTATGAAGTAGGGCTGAATGGTAAGAAATGGTCCGAAGAACCGGTGAGCTTATGCCATGGTGCGGCATCCATCCGTCAACTTTTCCTTTAAAACACTACTAGTCCTGAACGGCTCAGTGGATTTTGACAAAATTTGACCTGGAGCGTCCTTATAGGTAAAGGGGACTCAATTTTGTATAAACAGAGAATGTCTCCCCACCCTGGGGGCAGAGAGATGGTGAAAAATAGAGGAATTTGAGGTTAATGTTTCGGAGTATTATTTGCAAGAGGGGACTTCATTTTGTATAAACAGATTGTTTGTTCCCCCTGGGGCAGACAGCCAGATCCCCATCGAGAGTCATTGTAAAAAAAATCAGATAGTTGCTTAATTATTCGGGATATTGAACCAATTGCAAGCCCTCAGGGCCTATTGTTAAAATTCAAAATTCTAGATTATGTGATGTTGTAGGGGTATGGTGCCTAGATTGTGTGGTGTTGTAGGAGGTATGGTATCTAAATTGTGTGATGTTGTAGGAGGTATGGTATCTAGATTGTGTGATGTTGTAGGAGGTATGGTTTCTAGATTGTGTGATGTTATAGGAGTTATGGTATCTAGATTGTGTGATGTTGTAGGAGGTATACTATTTAGATTGTGTGATGTTATAGGAGGTGTGGTATCTAGATTGTGTGGTGTTGTAGGAGGTATGGTAACTAGATTGTGTGATGTTATAGGAGTTATGGTATCTAGATTGTGTGATGTTGTAGGAGGTGTGGTATCTAGATTGTGTGATGTTGTAGGAGGTGTGGTATCTAGATTGTGTGATGTTGTAGGAGGTATGGTATCTAGATTGTGTGATGTTGTAGGAGGTATGGTATCTAGATTGTGTGATGTTGTAGGAGGTATGGTATCTAGATTGTGTGATGTTGTAGGAGGTATGGTATCTAGATTGTGTGATGTTGTAGGAGGTATGGTATCTAGATTGTGTGATGTTGTAGGAGGTATGGTATCTAGATTGTGTGATGTTGTAGGAGGTATGGTATCTAGATTGTGTGATGTTGTAGGAGGTATGGTATCTAGATTGTGTGATGTTGTAGGAGGTATGGTATCTAGATTGTGTGATGTTGTAGGAGGTATGGTATCTAGATTGTGTGATGTTGTAGGAGGTATGGTATCTAGATTGTGTGATGTTGTAGGAGGTATGGTATCTAGATTGTGTGATGTTGTAGGAGGTATGGTATCTAGATTGTGTGATGTTGTAGGAGGTATGGTATCTAGATTGTGTGATGTTGTAGGAGGTATGGTATCTAGATTGTGTGATGTTGTAGGAGGTATGGTATCTAGATTGTGTGATGTTGTAGGAGGTATGGTATCTAGATTGTGTGATGTTGTAGGAGGTATGGTATCTAGATTGTGTGATGTTGTAGGAGGTATGGTATCTAGATTGTGTGATGTTGTAGGAGGTATGGTATCTAGATTGTGTGATGTTGTAGGAGGTATGGTATCTAGATTGTGTGATGTTGTAGGAGGTATGGTATCTAGATTGTGTGATGTTGTAGGAGGTATGGTATCTAGATTGTGTGATGTTGTAGGAGGTATGGTATCTAGATTGTGTGATGTTGTAGGAGGTATGGTATCTAGATTGTGTGATGTTGTAGGAGGTATGGTATCTAGATTGTGTGATGTTGTAGGAGGTATGGTATCTAGATTGTGTGATGTTGTAGGAGGTATGGTATCTAGATTGTGTGATGTTGTAGGAGGTATGGTATCTAGATTGTGTGATGTTGTAGGAGGTATGGTATCTAGATTGTGTGATGTTGTAGGAGGTATGGTATCTAGATTGTGTGATGTTGTAGGAGGTATGGTATCTAGATTGTGTGATGTTGTAGGAGGTATGGTATCTAGATTGTGTGATGTTGTAGGAGGTATGGTATCTAGATTGTGTGATGTTGTAGGAGGTATGGTATCTAGATTGTGTGATGTTGTAGGAGGTATGGTATCTAGATTGTGTGATGTTGTAGGAGGTATGGTATCTAGATTGTGTGATGTTGTAGGAGGTATGGTATCTAGATTGTGTGATGTTGTAGGAGGTATGGTATCTAGATTGTGTGATGTTGTAGGAGGTATGGTATCTAGATTGTGTGATGTTGTAGGAGGTATGGTATCTAGATTGTGTGATGTTGTAGGAGGTATGGTATCTAGATTGTGTGATGTTGTAGGAGGTATGGTATCTAGATTGTGTGATGTTGTAGGAGGTATGGTATCTAGATTGTGTGATGTTGTAGGAGGTATGGTATCTAGATTGTGTGATGTTGTAGGAGGTATGGTATCTAGATTGTGTGATGTTGTAGGAGGTATGGTATCTAGATTGTGTGATGTTGTAGGAGGTATGGTATCTAGATTGTGTGATGTTGTAGGAGGTATGGTATCTAGATTGTGTGATGTTGTAGGAGGTATGGTATCTAGATTGTGTGATGTTGTAGGAGGTATGGTATCTAGATTGTGTGATGTTGTAGGAGGTATGGTATCTAGATTGTGTGATGTTGTAGGAGGTATGGTATCTAGATTGTGTGATGTTGTAGGAGGTATGGTATCTAGATTGTGTGATGTTGTAGGAGGTATGGTATCTAGATTGTGTGATGTTGTAGGAGGTATGGTATCTAGATTGTGTGATGTTGTAGGAGGTATGGTATCTAGATTGTGTGATGTTGTAGGAGGTATGGTATCTAGATTGTGTGATGTTGTAGGAGGTATGGTATCTAGATTGTGTGATGTTGTAGGAGGTATGGTATCTAGATTGTGTGATGTTGTAGGAGGTATGGTATCTAGATTGTGTGATGTTGTAGGAGGTATGGTATCTAGATTGTGTGATGTTGTAGGAGGTATGGTATCTAGATTGTGTGATGTTGTAGGAGGTATGGTATCTAGATTGTGTGATGTTGTAGGAGGTATGGTATCTAGATTGTGTGATGTTGTAGGAGGTATGGTATCTAGATTGTGTGATGTTGTAGGAGGTATGGTATCTAGATTGTGTGATGTTGTAGGAGGTATGGTATCTAGATTGTGTGATGTTGTAGGAGGTATGGTATCTAGATTGTGTGATGTTGTAGGAGGTATGGTATCTAGATTGTGTGATGTTGTAGGAGGTATGGTATCTAGATTGTGTGATGTTGTAGGAGGTATGGTATCTAGATTGTGTGATGTTGTAGGAGGTATGGTATCTAGATTGTGTGATGTTGTAGGAGGTATGGTATCTAGATTGTGTGATGTTGTAGGAGGTATGGTATCTAGATTGTGTGATGTTGTAGGAGGTATGGTATCTAGATTGTGTGATGTTGTAGGAGGTATGGTATCTAGATTGTGTGATGTTGTAGGAGGTATGGTATCTAGATTGTGTGATGTTGTAGGAGGTATGGTATCTAGATTGTGTGATGTTGTAGGAGGTATGGTATCTAGATTGTGTGATGTTGTAGGAGGTATGGTATCTAGATTGTGTGATGTTGTAGGAGGTAAGATGTTTAGACTGTGTGATGTTGTAGGATGTATGGTATCTAGATTGTGTGATGTTGTAGGAGGTATGGTATCTAGTTTGTGGGATGTTGTAGGAGGTAAGGTATCTAGACTGTGATGTTGTAGGATGTATGGTATCTAGATTTTGTGATGTTGTAGGATATATGATGTCTAGACTGTATGATGTTGTAGGAGGTATGGTATCTAGACTGTGTGATGTTTTAGGAGGTATGATACCTAGATTGTGATGTTGTAGGAGGTATGGTATCTAGACTGTGTGATGTTGTAGGAGTTATTGTATCTAGATTGTGTGATGTTGTAGGAGGTATGGTATCTAGATTGTGTGATGTTATAGGAGGTATGGTATGTAGATTGTGTGATGTTGTAGGAGATTTGGTGTTTAGATTTTGTGATGTTGTAGGAGGTATGGTATCTAGATTGTGTGATGTTGTAGGAGGTATGGTATCTAGATTGTGTGATGTTGTAGGAGGTATGGTATCTAGATTGTGTGATGTTGTAGGAGGTATGGTATCTAGATTGTGTGATGTTGTAGGAGGTATGGTATCTAGATTGTGTGATGTTGTAGGAGGTATGGTATCTAGATTGTGTGATGTTGTAGGAGGTATGGTATCTAGATTGTGTGATGTTGTAGGAGGTATGGTATCTAGATTGTGTGATGTTGTAGGAGGTATGGTATCTAGATTGTGTGATGTTGTAGGAGGTATGGTATCTAGATTGTGTGATGTTGTAGGAGGTATGGTATCTAGATTGTGTGATGTTGTAGGAGGTATGGTATCTAGATTGTGTGATGTTGTAGGAGGTATGGTATCTAGATTGTGTGATGTTGTAGGAGGTATGGTATCTAGATTGTGTGATGTTGTAGGAGGTATGGTATCTAGATTGTGTGATGTTGTAGGAGGTATGGTATCTAGATTGTGTGATGTTGTAGGAGGTATGGTATCTAGATTGTGTGATGTTGTAGGAGGTATGGTATCTAGATTGTGTGATGTTGTAGGAGGTATGGTATCTAGATTGTGTGATGTTGTAGGAGGTATGGTATCTAGATTGTGTGATGTTGTAGGAGGTATGGTATCTAGATTGTGTGATGTTGAAGGAGGTATGGTATCTAGATTGTGTGATGTTATAGGAGGTATGGTATCTAGATTGTTTGATGTTGTAGGAGGTATGATATCTTGATTGTGTGATGTTGTAGGAGGTATGGTATCTAGATTGTGTGATGTTATAGGAGGTATGGTATCTAGATTGTGTGATGTTGAAGGAGGTATGGTATCTAGGTTGTGTGATGTTGTAGGAGGTTTGATACCTAGATTGTGTGATGTTGTATGAGGTATGATGTCTAGACTTTGCGATGTTGTAGGAAGTATGATGTCTAGACTGTGTGATGTTGTAGGAGATATGATGTCTAGACTGTGTGATGTTGTAGGAGATATGATGTCTAGACTTTGTGGTGTTGTAGGAGGTATGATGTTAAAGGCATCTCTGTAGTTAAGTTAACAATTTCACAAGCGTTCGAGGTTTGCAAATCATTCACAGGATGAAATAGCCTACACGCAATCTAAAACGATAGCAAATTCAACAAAACAGATAATGAGGTAGCTGTTTGTGTGCTTATTGCAAAGATGGTTGTGCATTTTCCGAAATATTGCAGAAAAGATGTTTGGTAGGGCTATTTTGGTAGCAGTCAAGCACAAATCAAACTCACAATGTGACTTATAATTTTGCAGGAAAAAATGTTATAAAAGATTGTCAGGGTAACAAATTTGTTATCTCTTGTTTAGGAGGGGTCTACTTGCTCATAGACCCTGTAGACCCCTCCTAACCCAGAGATAACTCATAATAGATGCTGAATACAGCATGTTGATATGTTATTTTGATAATAAAATCAAGTGTAAAGTATTAATAATATCAGTCTCGATAAAAAAGCAGATTACTACGAAAATTTGACAACATCATATTGTCTACACTGTTAGAATTACTTTCTTGCCCCATATACAAGTTTTAAATAATTTATATCCTACAAACATACATTTACAAGGATCCTGTGTTATTCGGGAGGCTACCTTTAATATTACGTTTTTGGCTCATATCAATAATAATGATATACTAGGCAAGGCCTGTTACCGATGGTACCTGTTAGTTTGAACTGAAGTCGTAGCTGCTAGTTCAACTAACTACATTATATGTTCCTGCATTGATCAGAGGACTGTGTCCTTGTACTAAATGTACATCCCCAATTTATATGAGCACATACCAGGGGGAAAAGAGACATATTTGAAATACACTTTTTACGGTACTTAAGGCATATCTTGGGTACTGTTTTGGTAGGGGAAAAACATTCTTCCTTTTTTGTGGGGTCACATGATGTTTGGTAATATGTTTCAATAGAGAAGAACCTGTTTTATTTGTGTGTGAGTGTGTTATAAGATAAGATATAGAAAATAAAATGTGAATTAATTTCATTTTGTTTTACAGAAAATTGAAGCGACCTGTGAGACCAAAAGTCACAATACAGGTGGCAACGTCAGGTAATAATCAGGAAGTTCCAAGACCAATTCCCATTCTTGGTGTACATATCTGTGAAGACAAAAGTAATAATATTTTACTGGTTCATGGAAACTTTCTAAAACCAACATTTGAAAAATTGGTAAGTAACATCAGTGACATCACTTTAAGAGGTAATCAGATATTTGGAACCCACTATCATCATCAGATGGTAGGGAGAAGGGGTAGACAGGGAGAGTGTGTGTCATCAGATGGTAGGGAGAAGGGGTAGACAGGGAGATTGTTTGTATCATCAGATGGTAGGGAGAAGGGGTAGACAGGGAGATTGTTTGTATCATCAGATGGTAGGGAGAAGGGGTAGACAGGGAGATTGTTTGTATCATCAGATGGTAGGAAGAAGGGGTAGACAGGGAGAGTGTGTGTCATCAGATGGTAGGGAGAAAGGGTAGACAGGGAGAGTGAGTGTCATCAGATGGTAGGGAGAAAGGGTAGACAGGGAGAGTGTGTGTGTGTGTCATCAGATGGTAGGGAGAAGGGGTAGACAGGGAGATTGTTTGTATCATCAGATGGTAGGAAGAAGGGGTAGACAGGGAGAGTGTGTGTCATCAGATGGTAGGGAGAAGGGGTAGACAGGGAGAGTGTGTGCTTGTCATCAGATGGTAGGGAGAAGGGGTAGACGGGGAGAGTATTTGTGTCATCAGATGGTAGGGAGAAAGGGTAGACAGGGAGAGTGTGTGCTTGTCATCAGATGGTAGGGAGAAGGGGTAGACAGGGAGAGTATTTGTGCCATCAGATGGTAGGGAGAAAGGGTAGACAGGGAGAGTGTGTGTGTGTCATCAGATGGTAGGGAGGAGGGGGAGACAGGGAGAGTGTGTGCTTGTCATCAGATGGTAGGGAGAAGGGGTAGACAGGGAGAGTATTTGTGTCATCAGATGGTAGGGAGAAAGGGTAGACAGTTCACCACCATAGCCTGAGACACACAAACAATTTTACGCTCGCTGGCGTTTGAAAAACGAAAATAGATTTGACCCAAAACGGTCGGATACAAATTCCGCCGCAATAAAAGCTTTTATATAGGCCTAAATATACACTGTATTTTAAAACTTCTTGTGAGAATTTTGGAAATTTGGTTTGTTGTTTCATTTGGAAGTGATAATATCATTATTGAGTCATTTCATTGAATCATAAAAGCAAAATGAAACATTTTAAAATGTGTCTATCCTGATATACATACAGCTGATTTCATGGTTATGTGTTGATGTTTTTATTAGGAAAATAGCACTGAATTAAAATTTAAGAAATTCTGAACATAATTTTAACTTACTGAAAATGCTTAAAACAACTATTTCACCTTTAAAATTAAGGTTAGAAAAACAACTCAAAACAAAACTTAATTTCTCAAAAACTGCCATTCAGATGGCGTATACACATTTCAGTCAGTGCAGCAATGTTGCATTGCAACAATGTATCTTGGCACTATCAGTACAGAGTGTTCAAGTGTATTGGCTTGCGTGTGGCAAAGGGTTAAGGTCAAGGTCACTGGGTCAATTTCAAGGTCAAATAATGTATATTGTTTTTTCTGATGAACATTTTTTATCCCCTGCTTTCATCAAAATGGGGGACAAGTGTGTGATATGACAATACCTTGACCAGGTTTGCGCTTCGGGTTTCTACATTGAAAGTTGAAGTTCAAGGTCACCACTACTACTTTTAGAAAAAACTTTGTCATCACTCTAGCCATTTCATTCTTCAAAGAAATTTCATGAAACTTCATACAAGTGTTAAGTATGGCAATACCTTAAACAAGTTTGCGTTGGGGGTTTCTACATTGAAGTCAAGGTTACTGTTACTATTTTTAGAAAAAAACTTTGTTGTCATCACTCTAGCCACTTCATTACTGAACAGAATTTCATGAAACTTCATGCAAGTGTTTGATACGGCAACGCCTTGGACAAGTTCGTGTTTCCGGTTTCAATTTTCAAGGTTAAGGTCACTGTTACTATTTTTAGAAAAACTTTTGTCATCACTTTACCGACTTCATTCCGCTACAAGATTTCATGAAACTTGATACAAGTGTTTGGTTTGGCAATATCTTGAACAAGTTTTTGTTTCAGGTTACTGCATTAAAGGCCAACGCCACTTTTACTATTTGTAGAAAAAACTTTGTCATTGCTCAATCAACTTCATTCCTCAATGCAATTTCATGAAACTTCATACAAGTGTTTGATAGGACAATGCCTTGAACAACTTCGTATTTCAGGTAACTGTATTAAAGGTCAAGATCACTTTATATTTTTACCAAAAACTTTGTCATCGTTTTATCAACTTCATTCCTCAACAGAATTTATTGAAACTTGATACAAGTGTTTGGTATAGCAATATCTTGAACAAGTTTGCTTTTCAGGTTACTACGTTAAAGGTCAAGGTCATTTTTACTTTTCTTTGTCATCACTTTAGGGACTTCATTTCCTTTTACATATGTCACAATGTGTGAATGCAAGGAGATTTGTATTACTTGTGATGCCTTGTTTTCTATCAAAACCACTTTCAAGTAGTACAGAAATATCTTTGAGTATGAAATTAGGTATGCCTAGAGTGTTAAAAAGTAATAATAATTATGGGTTACAGCCTTACAAGAATACAGTCTCCGACATATGCTTGATACGAGAGGAAAAATCGAGGGGATCACTTAAGGTGGAGGAGCCCACTGTATCTAAGGTAAGTGTCAGGGGCAACTTAACTGTTTATAAGGTAGTTATACAGGGCAACATAACGGTTTATATAGTAGTTATAAGGTAGTTGTACAGGGCAACTGAACTATTTATAAGATAGTTGTACAGGGCAACTGAACTGTTTATAAGGTAGTTGTACAGGACAACATAACGGTTTATAAGGTAGTTCTACAGGGCAACTGAACTGTGTATAAGGTAGTTGTACAGGGCTACTGAACTATTTATAAGATAGGTGTACAGGGCAACTGAACTCTTTATAAGGTAGTTGTACAGGCCAACATAACGGTTTATAAGGGAGTTGTACAGGACAACATAACGGTTCATAAGGTAGTTGTACAGGACAACATAACGGTTTATAAGGTAGTTGTACAGGACAACGTAACGGTTTATAAGGTAGTTCTACAGGGCAACTGAACTGTTTATAAGGTAGTTGTACAGGGCAATTGAACTGTTTATAAGGTAGTTGTACGGGGCAACTGAACTGTTTATAAAGTAGGTATACAGGGCAACTGAACTGTTTATAAGGTAGTTGTACGGGGCAACTGAACTGTTTCTTAGGTAGGTATACATGGCAACATAACGGTTTATAAGGTAGTTATACAGGGCAACTGAACTGTTTATAAGGTAGTTGTACGGGGCAACTGAACTGTTT